AAGTACTTTGATTTAAATAAATGAAAACAAAAGAATATATCTAAATAATATATAAGGATATATTTTCATTTGACATTATTTTGTTCACTAAAAAGCAACATAAAAAGGCAAGCTGTTCATATATATATATAATGAAATATAACACTGAAATACCTGCAATACAGGTTCGGTGAGACTTTAGAGTGGAAAATGACAAACCAAACCACCACCCCAAAACAATGATGCATTTTTAAAATATATAAAACCAGATGTGATAAATGAAAATGCATCAAAACTCTCGCTTCAACCTCAAGCATAACTTAAAAACAAACCTACAGTAAATGTTCGCCACCAATCAAGTTAAAAGGGGGCCAATCAAATCAACCAGTGACTCATTGACATTTTGTCATCCTACTGGTGGGAAGTGTTGCTAAAAATATGGTTCAACTGCTGAACCTAAAAAAGCTTTACAGATGAGGAGGAGGGACATATGAGATGATCAGATTCATTCTCGTCTGCCTGGCCACTTGGCTCTCACAAAATCCCAGAAAATAATTCCATTTGTTATCAAAATAATGTTGAAGTTCCTTAATATCACTATTTACTACTCCCTACAGGCAAAAAGGGACAAAATACAGTGCCTCAAGTTCAATACACATACAACATATGTGCTTGAAGAAAGAGCAGCAATTTCATATATTAAAGGTCCCATGTCATGGCCATTTCTAATGATCATAATTCCATTGTTGAGGTCTACTAGAATAGATTTATATTGTGCAATTTTCCAAAATCACAACTGTCCTAAACGGCTTGTTGGAGCTCCTGCCCCCCACTCCCTATGACCCCAGTGGCCGTCTGCGAGACAGCGAGACACAGCGAAACCCAGCCCGAAAACACACACGCAGCCTGGCTGGGAGTTTGTGTGTGTGCTCACACACCGACTCACAGCCTCACCGCGTCCCGCCGTCTCAGGGAGGAGAAATCGGCGAAGCTGCAGCTGAGAAAAGATTGAGTGTGCCTAACCTAACGGACGTAACGCAGCGGCTCCACGGATTGGTCCATTTGGACCAACGGGTCCATTTGGGTATGAGCACGTCACTGTACCCAGGAAGAAAAAGAGAAATCTCCAACGAGGCGTTCTGGGGCAGCACAGACAGGTATTTTCTGAGTTAGAGTTTTACTCGCTACAGGGTGTACTTTGAGGGTTTGTGACTTTGCAGACTGTTTACATGCAGAAAAACCTTCATAACACACAAGGGGACAGGTAATAATCGGAAGAGCATGACATGGGACCTTTAAAAAAGCAGTAATTCATGTCAATAGTTAAAATGTACGATTTAAGCCTAAAGTGAGTTCAAACAGATTAATCTACAGAATTCTTCAAATACTTAAATGCATATCAAACAATTAATGATATGCACTGACCTTGGCAAGAGGGATACTAACAATACAGGTAGAATAACAGGAGACATCTGAGCTACTTCTTTCAAGGCCAATAAATAATTCCTATTACACCCATGCTCGTGTGAACAGGCCTTCATTGTCATTTACTTACAAGGCTGCTCTTTAAAGAATAAGCTAAGGAATTCAATTCTGGAGAGGGAAGAAACAGGCAAAGCCAATGCAAATTGTCCAAACCCCACTGCCCTACATGTGCCCTGTGCAGCACACAGGCAGTGTAAGTAGGTGGATTTAGGCCCCACTATTAGTCCAAACCACATGATGTCATCCTGACTAGGTTCCTGTGTCAATTTCAGACTAAGTTATTTACTGATTTACAAAAGTCAGCAACATTTTTCTAAAAATGTTATATTTAAAGAGAACCACAATATTCTGATCATGGTGGTGAATTGGTTTAGTGTTTAACATATCATTCACACAGACTGGTTGCATATCCAGATCAAACTTTAAAGGGAAGATCCTACATTCGTATAAAACAAGAGATAAAAGCGAGCTGCATCTCCGCGTATCGTCTGCAGGGTCAGATGAATGGGGGCTCAGTATTTCACCGCAGTTTCTAGTCAGCGCGCACTACGCCATGTTGGTATTTCCGAAGCAGATTATGCAATGCATCTCATCTACCTAAAACCGCCCATTCCACTCAAAACAGACCGAACTTGTTAATGCTACAGGCGGGAGATTAATCATAATCATTAGTCAATGAATCGGTTCAATTTACATGCACCATAACACCAGTATATCTGTAGAGTGTCAGGCTAGAGATGCGACAAAAAATCCCCACATCAAACGTTAGCCAACCATAACGTAATCACCAAAATGTCTTCCTGATGTTTACAAAAATATTTGTAAAAATGAAACGTTCCGCCTCGCTTCTATGCATACGAGTGTAATAACGTTATTTGGTCATCTTGATGTCTACAATAGCTTCCGCTGAAAATAAGACCAGTGTGTTTGTATCATCGAGCCATGCCATTAAAAAAATCACCACCTGGTCTCCACATAAACCGATCTCCCGAGAACCAAAAGATAAATATCTCGCTATTAAAACCCATGTCACTTTATCCACTGCGTGCCCAATAATGCGCTTCGCGTCTCGCTAACGTTAGCTCGGGAAAGCTGCTGATGCAAGAAACACAACCTGCTCGCAAAGCTAGCGTGCGGATCCATAAGCCAACTGCAGTGAAACGTTAACGTAACCTACGTTCATCAAATTATAGATCATTTCTGAGGCTTATGTTTTATTAGCACATCCCTGCGGGTTCTAGTTTGTCGGCCAAAGCCACTGGGCTTTAACGTTACTCAAAACTCGTTATGGCAAGTAAACAGTTTTAGTCAGACTACACAACATACGCTCACATTACTGATAGTTTTGAGCCAATAACGCCCAATGTAACATGAAACAAGCCATGGTAGCACATGCATTAACATCAGGGTTATATCTGGTTGCTGCAACATCGCAAATGTTGCCATAATAACAAGACAACCCCACTCGTTGAAGATCACAACTTATCTTTAGGACCTATTGCAGAGTGGAGACATGGTGTGCATTGCAATTAGACTATGGAAATAAATACAGACAGGCCTGTTGTTGTACATCAACGGCGGCCTTCCTCTGATACACTCGCTGTAGAGAAATCTATTTATATGAAACCTTAATGCACATATGTCAAAAGCTGAGAAGTTGGGAGTAGACCCTGCCAGTCTAGCTAGCTCGCTAACAAAGAAAAAGGAGGAACCTACCACGTGACGAGGTTGCACTAACCGAGGGAATTTCGGCAACAATCCCCTGCAGTTTTAGTGGAAAAAAACCAAGGGTGCTACCACAAAAAACGCGGCCTGAATCGATCAGTCTGCCATTAATAAATCCAACAAAAATGCAACCAGATTGCCCCAAAAAGGCCCAGTTCACAGAGCCGCTCGGATCTCGTTCCGGATTCAGGCGAATGGGCGAATCAACGATCTACACCTTGCTCGACCAGCTAGCTCGCCTCGCCGCTAACACTCAGCGAATATAAAGACAAGGCCGTGAAACACTCCTTTCCACTCCGATTTACTTCATATGTAGGTGAATTTGCCGCAATATTTTTACCGAAAAATCCGATTCTCAGTAAGCGAAAGGTAATCCAGATGGCAGTTTTGTCGCGAGTTCTTTTCTCTCGTTTTAGGGAGAGACGCTTAGAAAATGGCGGCTAGCTCCTCTCCCTCGGATTTGAGTCTGACAAACATAGGAGGGCTGTGTGTGTGTGTGTGTGTGTGCGTATGCGTGTGTGTATTGCTTGCTGGTAGGCGGGAGACATTTCTCATACTCACCACTAGAGTAAAGGGCAGATAAGAAACGACATAAAAGCTCAAAAGAAGATACCACAGGAGGGCATTGTCTTCCAAAAACATAGTGCAAAGTCATTTTAGCATTTAAGACACAAAGGCCACGATAAAAAGCTACTGGTGAAACTGCAAATAGTACTACAGCTATGTGCGACTCTTCTCCCACACATGTATAGTAAATAAATAATTATGCTTTCAGTTTAACCACCTGTATTTTATCCACATATGGCACACAATTAACCATTTATTGATACATTAAGGGTTTTTATTTACTCTTCTAAATAGCTAAAGATTTCCTTAAACCTACATATTTACAATAGGGAAACTAAACCCAGTCCAGACTGCCTGGCTCTCATGTCACCTTTAACAGGAACTAGATCGCCCACCACTACACCAACACCTCTCTGAATGTACAGCCAGTGGCCACACGAAAAAGAGCTCTACAGCACAGAACTGTTAAATAAATACAGCCATAGCCCAAAATATAATACCACACAACATATATAGGACAGTTGGTAAGAACATCAGGAAAGAGGAAATGTGTACAAATTGCACTAAACAAAACCATGGCACCTACACTACACAAATCACTGAAAACCAAACTTTAACAGACAAGTCCCCACTATGGATTATTCATTAAAGTAATGTTAATACAACATCGCTGGAAATTCTGAAGCCTCTCAAGCATAATGTTGGATTATGAAACTAGGATGCACATTTTTCACAATTTTCCCCAAACAATTATTCATTAATCTAGAAAATATAAAAATACAATGATATTATACTTAATCTCATATATTTAACTATAATGCAATGTAACAAAATGGCCATTAAGATTGTTTTTGTTTTGTCTGTGTCAGAGTTGTTTAATTGGTAATGTGAAGCTAATTGGCAGCCTCAGTTATGATCAAATAAGATAAAGATAAGATGTACTTTATTGATCCCAATTTGGGAAATGCTTGCGTTATGTTAACAGATGTTTAACAGTCTCAAACGGAAATGAAAAAGACGTACTTAATGATTACTGAAAAACTGCATGTTGCACTGCACTTCCTGTTAGATGCCTAACCGCATTTTGTGGTCTTAGTATTTGAACATGTGCATTGATAGTAAAGTAAGGTCAGCAATTTAACACATAAGCACTTAAGATTTAGTTTTATAGGTTGGTAAACGGTCATTTTAGGCTATTGCTTGTTGGTTGTGTGGTAGTGGACTAAGAAGATATAGTACAAAAATCCAACTCAGAAAATATTTATTTTTTAAATCTGAAAATATAAAAACTGTTCATACAAGCATTAAATAGGGCTGGGCATTATTTTTGTATCTTTCACTTTTACTTAAGACCGCTTTTATAATATTGAAAAGAAGGTCAAGTTAAATAATGCCTAAACACAAGCGGACATGCAATATTTTTGAAGCTTGCACTTCATACAAAAAAGCTGTTTCAAAAACCAGCCCCAGCTTTTAAAACATAATATAAATTATATAATATAATATATTACTGTTATAATATATTATGTTATACCCTAGAGTATATATATATATATATATATATATATATTAACTGTTGCTGTTTAAGTGTGTACAGTACTGATATCTCTTATATTTGTTTCTGTTAAGAAAGTTCCCATTTATGTGGTTACTTGCCTATCTCTACTTTTTCAATTTACTGTTGCTCACGCTTATCTGGTTGATCTTCTATGACTCTAAATAAACTACTATAATTGTCACTTCCTGTGCGCTAGATGTTTTTCCAAGGACATCATCCACATTAGATGTACTCAGTGCTATGTTGCATCCTTGCTTAAGTAATGCTAATTATTGCATACCACTTGTTTTCTACAGGTCTTGCATGAACTCTGAGTATTATCAGACAACCATGAATAATAAGCAAGTCATTACCAATCCTATGTGTAAATTAGAAACTGTCCATATCCGCCTGTTCTGAATACTATTTCAAATTGATATCTACATACAAGTCTCAGGAGCAAAACTACAAATGTCACAATTAAATATGTGATAACTTGGATAGTTATCCTAAATGTGTTCTTTTCTGCTCAAATTATGTTCCATGTCACAAAGTCAACAGCCTAAAAGAAGTTGCTTACACTTCCTGCCTCTCAATCTGCATCCTAAACCTCCTCAAGGGATAAGAAGCAGTCTCCCACACTTTGCTGCGATGTGTGATCCATCCAGCAGGTTTTATGTCTCTTCCCAGCTGTCAGAAATACTTCCACAGGGATGCTTGGTTGTCCTGATAAGATGCGCCATATGGTGCTCCTTCCCAGGCGAAAGGACAGGCAGGCCCACCAAAAAAGACAATTATTTCGGGAAATAGTATCCACAATTTCATCCTAGTTGTTGTCAGCACTAAATCCATGAACACATGTGAGGACTGGTTGAGAGGATCCGAAGGTCTCCGTCAGAACCCATACAAAAATAAAAATTATATATATATTATATATATTTAGAAATACCTTTAACTCCATTGTTGGTTCGCTCCATTCAATAATCCATAAAGCCATAACTCCAGTTTCCGCACATGGAAATAACATGACTCCTAAAAGAATAAGAATACATAAACAAAAATTAGTTTATTCGTATTTCAGGTCAGAGCAACACCCACTAAACCAAGTTCTTAACAGACTCTGAAGGGTATTCTTTTTTTACGTCCAGCTGGCAAGCTAGCGCTAGCCGGGCTAATGTTAACCTACGGGAACGTTATCATTGCACATTTATAATGAAAAAGTTTTACATGTTGAATAATATTAACACTGGTCTCGGGAATGTAAAAGCAACTTATGAGTTGGGTTCTTTACTGGCTTATCGTGTCAATTAATTCAATGCCAACGATATAGTGACAGAATTAACTGTACTTTCTCCCAGCGCTAGATGATAAGCTAATGTTAGCCATGCTAATGTTGACGTAGTGAGCTAACGGCCAATAACAGCCAACTTAGCTAGCAGACTCAGCTAGCTAGCTTGTTTGCTTCCCGATCCCCATACTGACTTCTCAATGACTACCGTTTTATTGCACGTTTGGCATGAAAGTGCAAGACAAAATTCCAAGCTGCTCAAATCGAACAGCTAATAGTTTAACCAAATTAGTGTTTTTTCCTGACAAGCGGTGCGTTCGTTAATTTTGAGAAAAATAACAAGAATCCTACTTACCTGCTTGTCCTGTTACTAACCGTTTACGACTTGATAACAACCGTCCCCCCTGTGTTCCTATTGGTCAAAGCTCTCATTCGTGGCTACCTATTGGCTCCCCACGGGTGTCAATCAGGCCAAATGCCCGTACAGCGGAAATGTGGGACGGAAAGTTCATAGCACGAAACTTCAATATCCAAAAAATATTGTTTTCATTTAAAAAATGTCTTTGCAACCTGTACACTACTTTCTAATGGCTCACATAAATGCGCCATAACACGAGTGTTGTTTACACCACATCCCATGCTAGCTGCTCATTGTCTGTTTTCACTCATTGTAACTCCAACGTCTAATATTTCTCCTGCTCTTGTCTTTTGGTCTTTACTTACAAATGAACCACTGGTTTTCACAGCACAAAACAAACAACATGCAGATCAGGTAGATGGCTGGAAATGAGTAACTTCAATCTGTTTTGTTTTATTTAATTTCTTGCATCAAATGCTAAACAGACTGTGCTGCTGGTGCTGCTGGTGGTTGGATGATATTTGAATGATTTTAGTCTATCAATTCTCTACCCCAAAATAAGACATGAAACTTAAAGAGAAGACAGTACCTTTTTAAAGAGTGATAAGACAGGAGACAAGGAACAGATGATGGATACAAATATAGATGAGTGAGGCAATTGTGGGTGGTTTGAATACATGTGTAGCATTTGCAAGAGGTGGAATGTGAGTAGTAAGTGCATTTAATGTTTTATACATCTTCATTTTGACACTTTTCACATTTACAAATCTAAATGCAGTTAATAGCCTACGTTTTATGAATAATTTAGACCATAACATGGATCCATCATTTCACAGTCAGCTTGTTCGATCCCTTGTTATGTAAGATCATCTCTATAGGCTTGAGATATTTTTACACAGTTATCTTCATCTGCTCTTTGGAGAATTTAAACTACTACCCTCCGGACAAAGATTAAGACTTCCAAAGGCCAATCATTCCTTTATTATGATGAATAATTACTTTATTTCTCAGGCAACCAAGTTGTTAGATTACCCAGCTCATAATTCGTTTTCAGTTTAGCTCTTTTAGGCTGATGTTGGTTATTACTAGCAATGGCTAGATTTCCTGTTATTACTCGATGTATTTATGTCATTTATTGGGTTTTTCGTATGAGAATGTGGTCATATTTCTCTGTGTGTTACCTGGTTGCAAAACCAATTCTCTATCAAAACAATAAAGTTGAAGAGTCCATAGATTTTTATTTAACCTGCGATCATTTTTGAATACACTTCCATATGTGAGGTGCATAAATCAAAGACCCCAAACAACCACAACACATACACACAAGTTAGGTTCTTTATTACTTATGAACAACAAATACGGCAAGCAGTCAACAATGAAATTCTTAAATCTTAGGCGGCCTCTAGAAATGGTCATAGACATATGTATACAAAGTTACATCATTAATATTTTTATTTGGATCTACAAAACTGTAGCAGTTAAAATATAAGTATGACATTTAGATATAAGATGCTTGACTACTCTACATGTTCAATATATTTAATTTGACATCAAATTGTATTCATATCTTACATTTTATTATACTTGCATTTACTATTTGTGTAAACCGCATAGTTGGTCTATTGTATTAGATGACATATACTTTGCTGCTACAAACCAAACCACCTGTCTCTTTGCCTTTGACATAGATATGCATTTTATTTACCAGAGTTGAAGCAAATAAGACACAAAGAGGATAGATCAAATAAAGATGAGTGGGGTTGTCTTAAATATAGTGTATTTACTACATGTAATCAAGTACTACACTTACAATTAAGAGGTCATTTGTACTTTAAACTATCAATTTTCTACCACACTACCCAACTACACTTCAGGGAAGGGAAATATTGTATTTTCTCTTGACAATGACAAAATAATCACACAAAAAAAGACACTAAAGATGATACATTTCCACCCAAATATCCAGTACTATAGGTACAACATAACAGATGACCATCTTCCTGAATAAGTTGCAGTCTTGTGGTTTGGTTACTCCTAAATTCACAGTCTTATGTCTTTGGATCCATTGCTCTAATCTAGGTTGGTCAGGCTAAAGCTAGTTTGTTGTAATCATATTATGGGCTCTTACCCACAAGCTCCAATATATAATTGGTTTTCTCCAACCCCATTAGACACACAGTCTACAATCAATTGATGTGGTCTAAATGGTCCGTTTCGGTTCAGAATTTCTCACATTCCTTTCCCCAATCAATTCTCGCGACAATACAAATATGTGATTAAAGACACATTACTAATTATGGCCTTCAAATTGAGCTACGTATGTCAGCAGATCCAGGACCTCTCCCATTGGTCCTCTTCAATTATGGTGTTGACTTCCAAATCCCATTAAGATAAGATAAGATAAGATGGTACTTTATTGATCCCAATTTGGGAAATGTTTGTGTTGCAGCAGCATAAAAGACAAGGCATTTTACAATAAAAAAAAACTAGAAATAAATAAGAAAGTAGAAAATATACATGTTGAATTTGACAAGATATTATAATATATACAAATATATATATACACATAAATATATGACATATGGAATATGAATATTAAATATTGAACAGATTATATATGTGTAAAATGTACAACGTGGTTTTATTCCAAGAGAAACTATGGAGCAGAGAGTTCTCTTCCAGCCAGAGGTGATTTATTGTACAGAGTTATTGCAGTGGGCAGGAATGTGTTCCTGTATCGGTCCTTGTGACAGCGGAGCTGCAGCAGTCTGTTGGAGAAGGAGCTCCGTTGACTGTCCAGCTGCAGNCCTCTGGCTGGCAGAGAACTCTCTGCTCCATAGTTTCTCTTGGAATAAAACCACGTTGTACATTTTACACATATATAATCTGTTCAATATTTTATATTTTATATTCCATATGTNTTTGCTGCGGTCTGCTGGGGGGGCAGCATAAGAGCCGGTGACACCAGCAGGATCAATAAACTGATCAGGAAAGCTGGGTCTGTCATCGGCACCAGCTTGATGCCGATGACAGACCCAGCTTTCCTGATCAGTTTATTGATCCTGCTGGTGTCACCGGCTCTTATGCTGCCCCCCCAGCAGACCGCAGCAAAGCAGAGTGCACTGGCCACAACAGACTGGTAGAAGATCTCCAGCATCTTGCTGCACACGTGGAAGGATCTCAGCTTCCTCAGAAAATAGTCTGTTCATCCCCTTCTTGTATACAGCGTCAGTGTTGATCCTCCAGTTCAGCCTATTGTCTAAGTGCACTCCCAGGTACTTGTAGTCCTTCACAACAGCCACATCCTCTCCCAGAATGCACAGGGGCTGAGGAGACGTCCTCGTCCTCCTGAAATCAATGACCTGGTCTTGGCCACATTCAGAAGCAGAGGATTTCTTCTCTGTTCACCCGATGTATTGTCTGTTGAATCAATGCAAATCCTTCCATATAGACAAGATATTATTTACTAAAGTGTATTTGTTTATCCACAATATTAATTCACAATTGGTTGGTACTTCTTTTTGCCTTGTGTTTCACTGAGAAATATTTTACTTTTTTCTCCAGTACATTTATTGACAGAAACAACATATGATCAACCGATTATCTGGCTTATATATACCACATCTGAGGATTTACACATATTTCTCTCTCTGTGGCCTCTTGTTTATGCCTCTTTTTTTTAAACTTAGTTTACAAATGCACCTTTTTTTAACATCCATACTTTCTTGCCATGAGGTAGGAGCAATTTATCATACAGTATGTGCCGTTGTATGAGGGTTGTGTTAAGAGGATTCAAATCAAAATGGTATTGTTCACACATGATCACAGCATTGCACACAGTAAATGAAACCCCTGTAGTTAGTATTAGGAGCAGTGTGCCGATTTTAAATACAGCGCCGAGGTATCATTACTGGGTCTGTTCGGGGTCTTGAACCGGCGTCCTTGAGCTTCCAACGCCCTTAAAGGGTTCAAATCTGACCTTTTCCCCAGGCTTCACACTTCCTCCTCACCCTGTACATTTTTGTTTGTTTTGCTTCATAATGCAAAAGCTAAAAACACTGAGGAAACATTTAAATGTAGTTGTAATAAATCAACACTAGATGGCACTGAGACCTCACTCTCAACATCACACAAGCCTCATAAAACGCAGCTCTCACTTTGCTTACTGTGTGGAGAAATTGAGTTATTATTTGACTTATAATATTTACCTCTTCTACTATTGACTTTCAGTCCGGTTCAGCACTGTGCAAACACTCGTTCATAACCAGAAAGTGAATGCTACTGACTTTAAGTACAAATGGAGTATTTTCATTATCAGCAGTGCACTACTTAAAAAGTGTCATGGTTTTGGATGTATGTTGTTTTAATTTTCCACCTTTTATTTTGAAATGTTTTCTGGTCCTACTTCCTGTGTTTGCCTTCCTGTCGTTAGTTTCCCTCCTGTGTCTGATTGTCTAATTGTGTTCACCTGCCCTTGTGTTTCTGCCTCCCCTGCCCAGCTGTGTCTTGTCCTGTGATTACCCCTCTGTGTATTTAGTCTTGTCTTCCCCCTGTGCTCTATGTCTGTTCTATTTCGTATATGGCTTCGCCCTCTAAGGCTATCGCTATAGAGAACCGCAGTGACGCGTCGTAAAACCCGGAAGTAAACTTCTTCCGGTTCCTTTGTCAAAAACCAATGCAAATTCTCCATAGGATTTTGGAAAATAGCTCGAAATAAGGTCTGTGGTTGACACACATTTAAGAGAGGGATCACGTTTTGTTCAGCCGGATAATCTCCACATGTCAACCCTACTTTTATAATTTTTGAATCATAAATCTAGTCGCCAGAAGCAAAATGCTAACGTTATGCTATAAACGAACTACAAGCCAGTACAGCAGCAGGGTCGCACGACTTCAACGTCACGCCAACTTAAGATTGTTTCAACTGACTTGCACTGAAACTGCACTTTGAACACTTTAAATATATTAACATTTTAAACTGTATACCCCGGTTATCTAGGCCCTTTTTCTTTTGTTTTATGTATACATGTCACACTGTGGGAAACGATATTTCGATATTTCTGGATGTATAACACATGTCGAATTTTTGACAATAAAGCTGAATTTGACTTTCGCGTGCTTGCATATTTTAACAAAGCTTTTCATTTTAGCCACACTGAATTTAACTAGAAGTCATGGCTGTGTCAATTACCAGTCTGATATCGTTTTACAAAGATGACAAGAAGAGTGTAGATAGAGGAGAGAACCACTNCCGACCTCGGTGATGTGTCTCCTCCCTACTCTCACACCAAAAGGAGACCTGCTGGACGATAAACGACCGAGCGGGGTCCCTCCTTCAGCGAAATGTCTGCCATGTAGAGCATAGCGTAGACAGTTTCGGCCCAAAGTATTATTTAACCTTCTTCTCGACAGGAGAAGGGAGAGTCCTGTTAGCAATATGACCCTCACCTCAATTTGAGTCGGTCGTACTCCTCGCGCTGAGAGCGCCGTCCGTCTCCCCTTCTCTTGACTTGTCGAGAGGAGGCCGCACAGTGTTGGGGTGTGTCCGGGAGAGGCACTGCGTCGACGAGCCGCAACCGCAGTCGACCAGTGCACTACTAGGGGACCCAGAGAAGGTTGTCCCCTGTGGAGGTCTCCACCAAGGTAAGCGACGCGTCTTCGGACGACAAAATTGGATAACCAAATATTTGACGTCTTGGAGCGCCGTAAGGGAGACAGGGTCTATACGGAGGATGTGTGGCAGTATTATTGGTGCTTGCATATTGCGGAGCACACCTCGTACGTGTGTGGAGAGTACGGGGACCCGCAACATGCCGCGAGAGGTACTCCTCTCTGCCTTCCTTTCCGTCGCACACCTTTGAGGGGGAGCGGTCGCGGGAAAACCGGAGTGCCGGTCGCCGCCGCTACCCGCACCGGAGCAGTGGGTACTGCTGGTAAGCCCGTGAAAGTGTCTCTTCGACGAGGGGGTCGTCAAGGTACCCTTATGTTCGTTGTGGACAGTAGGGGTCCTTTGTCACAGAACGCGCCAAAAATGGTCGATTAAAGATAGACTGTGTCGGTCCAGCCCAGCAGGGTGCACCGTGGTGTGTTGTCACCGGTACCGCGGCAAGAGGTCGCGGACCACGTCACGTCATACCAGTTCTCGGCGATAGCCCGTCGCGAGTATGAGAGTGTGTATGCCGACACACTCCCGCCGCATACGTGTCCCCGTACACAGGAGACCCCACCTCTGGGCGTCTTGTAGGCGTCCGCGTAGACGTCGAGGCGATGGTCTCCTTAAAGGAGGCGACGTTCCGAAACGTGCCTCCTGACAGTCGACCTTTCTATAAACGTAGACGACGTAGACCAGGGGGACAACGTACGAATAGACGTAACAATAAACTCCATACAGAGGGTACAGGAGAGACTCGTGTGGAACATGACCCACAGGACAGTCCCCTCCTCTTGTCCCTCGCGTCGACACCCGGAGAGAGCGACCGGAAACCCGTGCCGCCTCGTCGCCGGTAAAGTGCGAGGACAGGCTATACCTCCCTACACGAAAAGCAGGGACTGGTACTCGCGAACATTGCCGTCACGCGTGACCAGTCGTTCACGTCACTGCAGTCCCTAAGCGTCCCGACTACGCGCAGAGGATGGACAGCACTGTGCCGTCTCTCGGCACGACAAGGCGAGTGATGCTCCGGGCGTCCTGTTCCATCCTCTGGAAAGCAGAGGAATGAAAGAGCGTCCGCCGGGCCATACATAACAAGGTCGGAAAGTGGTGGGCAGGGCCTTCTATCCGTACAAATACGATCAAGGTCCATCGCCACTACTCGCGCGTAATGCGTACCGTGTTGTCCCGTCTACCCACAATAACTCGTCCATACAAGCACGAAGATCACGGCCCACCTGGGTCACCCCCCCCGCGCGGTCCTCGATGTAGTACAAGCGGAATTGCGCGTTATCCGCTGATCGGAATGCGTCCCGCTGTGTGGTATATGCCGTTTTATGCTTTGACTCCAATCGATGACATTGGGGTCGAGGATACTCATTATACCGCGCGTCCGGGAGATTCACCGCCCCCGGGGGTGACCGAGTCGATTGCCACCGACCCTTTTCACCGGTTACCTGTAATTGTTTCACACTTTTAGTGAAATTTGTTCTCTCGACTCTGTGGTAAATGAAAATTATTTTGTTTTAATGTTATCCGTTTTTTCGTGAAAAATGGCTCCTATATTTGTCTATAATTGTTAGGTATTGTTGTTTGTTTAATTAGTGTATACGTTTTGTGAAATCGGTGGAAAGGGCTTTGTGAAATTGTAAAGGCGGGCTTTGTGTAATTGAAAGGGCTTTTGGTGTAAATGTTTGGGCGTCTTAGTTTGGCCTTTCACTGAACTGCACTGCACTGCACTGGCTATCCTGCACTGCACTAACCGGAGTTTAATTTACAACCCCGCCTTTCTGGACTTCCACGCTCACTAGAAAGTATATGTCAGGATCCGACACAAATGCAAGCATTTTTTCTTCCCGCAAAAATGCGAGGAGCCAGGAAATATCCGAACGGCAAACTATTGTCTGGTCTGATATTCCCTGAATGGAAAACGCAGGAATTTCCTGTGTTTTGGGATTATGGGTACGTGGAAGTATGCATCCTTCAGGTGGAAGTGAACCAGTCGTCCTGGTGAACACATTCCAGCACCTGTTTGATCGTCAGCATGTGGAATACTGACAGATCGAGGATGTCTCATTCCCCCAGTCTTTTTCGGGATTAGAAAAATAACGGGAGTGAAAACCCCTGATTTTCCTCCCTTTGAGGAACCCTGGGAAATATCCTCTTTCAACAGGAGTTCCAGCAGCTCGGATTGGAGCGCAAGACATAGCTTCTGGGAGGACACGAGTGTTTCCTGTATCCCATTGAAATATGGGGGGAGGGGGAGAGAGGCGAACTGCAGGACGTATCCTCTGCTGATCAGCCTGCTCATCCATCTGTCCATCAGACACACGCGCTGCCACTCTGAGAAACACTCTAAGAGCGGGCGCACATGCTCGAGATGTTCTGTGGTCGTCATGGCAACGAGCCACGCCAGGGAGCCTCCACACGCTGCGTTTCACTCCGGCTCTCATCATGAGGCGTGTACACGCTCAGGGGATGAATGGAGGTGTGTGCAGTGCTGCCCACATGAGGCGTTATAACGGCGCTCATGGGTTTATTATGACCGTGTGTAGGAGGCGTATCTCGGACAGTGGAATGCCGCGAGCTCTGCAGGTTATTAACCGAGGTTAAAACGGGCAGGCTTCTACAACGAGCCCTGCTGGTAATCAACAGATTAGTGGCAGCCGGCTTAATTAGCGAGCTCTGCAGTTAATTAACCGATAGGTTAAAACCAGCAGGCTTCTTGCAGCGAGCCCTGGCGCCGTGGCGCTGCGGGCGCTGCCGCTGGGGACACTCAGCCTGGAATACTGCTCAGTCCCCCGTTCTGGCTTCTCTGTGATGTGCTGTAATGGTCGTCATGGTGACGAGCCACGCCATTGCCCTCGCCGCCGCTGCCTGTGAGGCGAAAGGGCTGCGAGGAAGCCTCCACACGCTGCGTTTCACTCCGGCTGTCATCATGAGGCGTGTACACGCTCGGGG